TATGCATCAATAAGGAAATAGTTAAATAAATTATAGTAAATTCAAACCAGAGAATACACGAAAGCATTTTAAAACGCATTAATTCTACAAAATCTTAAATATGTATTACTGTGTTTAAATAATTGGAAAATAACATATAGAGTATGATACTATTTGTGTAAAAAATGAAAAGCAACACTGCAAAAATGTGTGTGTATTTGTAAACTATGGTTTACAAAAATTAAAGATAACTGAAGTAAATGGGGTGATATTCTTTGTTCATGAATTGGAAGACTTGATGTTTTAAAAAAATATTAATTTTTTCCAAGTTTATCTTTTAGATTTATATAATTATAATCAATATTCCAAAATGCTTTGTGAAAATTTACAAACTGAATACTACAATGCACATTAAAACATGTAGGGCCTAGAACAACCTACTTGGGTTTCATATAGGTGAGCAGGAAACAAACTGCAGTCTTATTTAAGTCCTTGGTGTTCAAGGCTGTGAGTCACTTTCAGACAATCTGAGATCCATAGAGTAGTCTTATCCAAATGCCCTCATAACTATCATCAATATCCACTGAATTACATCTCTTGACAATTGCCACTCCTTTTCCCTGTAGATAAGAAGTTTTTACCTAAGCCTTTCCAATATCCTTGGGTTAAAAGTTGTCTCTTTACCAGTATCTATGATGATAATTTGCAAACCCTTTCTTCGAGGGGATGGTCTCCTTCCATTAATCTTCTAAGTGCCAGGACGAGTGCTAACACTAGTTCCTCTGTTATTGCGCTTTACATCGTATCAGTATGACTTCTGATGAGAGCTTTTAGAATCCACATTCATTAATGTTCTCAGCATGAAACTGGGGGGTATAATTTTTTAATTCATGTCAGATTCAATTTTTCCCAAACAATTGCACAAAAGTTGCACACATTATCCAGGATAATTTTTAGGTATTATTTCACAGCAAAATACAGATAAGAAGCTCCAAAAAAATTAGGTCACCTATCAGTCATGCATGTTACAACACAGCCAATTTCTTTGGTTGTAGATTTGGGATCCATTCTAGGCAGGAGTGGCATGCTACCGAGTTTAATGGTTATACAATGAACTTTGAGATGTACAGCTGATATTTCTTCAAATAAGGCAAATATGTTTTAATTACAGCTCAGTTTAGGGCTAGTGATTGCTGGCTCTACAGCAGCATCGGGTAATCTAATGAACAAAATAAACTGACCAACAACATAGATCCAGAGACATGGAAGCATGGGACAGACTGACAAATCTCAGAGGGGAGGGAGTGGAGGGTGGGAAGAGATTAACCAAAGAACTTACATGCATATATGCATAACCCATGGACACAACAATAGTGCGGTAAAGGCCTGGGGTAGAGGGGAAGTAGGGTAGAGGGGGTCAATGGAGGAAAAAAAGGGGGACATTTGTAATACTTCCAACAATAAAGATAAATTTTTAAAAATAAAAGCATTAAAAAATTAAAAAATAAACCTTAAAAAAAAAAAAAGAGTTTGGGACTTTTGATTGGTAGTTCAGCTCCAAGGCTGATCCTTCCATAAGACTTAGGTGTTCACCCTGATACTTTCAGTCGGATTTTCTCCCAGCTACTGTACTAGAAGCTTCTGGATTATTTCAAAGTTTATGGGAATCTTTCGTATTGGGAGTTTGCATCAAGCTTTTCCAAACAGTGATAGCTTGTCACATCCAATCATTAAGAATGTGCAAATAATAAATAAGCCATAAGATCATTCTGAAGAATCTCAAAGAATTTCTCTATGTATCATAGAGTTAGTTAATTGAGAGATACAACTTTGGTGATCTCTGACTGATCAGGGACATAATTTTTAATCTGTTTCTGCCTGAAAATATACTGATAATATTTACCTTATCGACCTGGAAATTTAATCCCATAGGATGAAAGTAACCAGGTTACACTTATTTCAGGCACCCTGGAAAATGACCACCTTGGGTCTTTGGAGATCTAGTGGTTTTGGCTGAGCAAAGTCACTGGTGGGTGACCTTTGTATTATGAGAACTGACCCTTATGAAATGCCTTCACCATGAAGATCCAATATAAATATATTTTTGCATAACCTAGCCAAAGTAGTGGATCAAATAATAAGAATCTGACCTAAACTGGACCAATTCTAGAATCTCACTTTCCTGGTCACATTGATTGGAATAGGAAATGGGTGTGTGGTATAAGATAAGCGGGTCAGAACCCATCACCAGAATTTCAGAAACAATGAAAGGAGGAAGTCAAAGTTGTGATGTGCAAGCTTGAAGCTACCAGTGCCAGATGCCTTCAATGTGAAGACTGTCATTCAGTCTCCGGTCTGATTCTGGGGGTCCCAAGAACTTCCCTGGCTCCTCTATTAGCACAGTGTTTTAGTGTGTAGACCAAACTGCTATAACAAAGAGAAACACAAATCCAGTGTATCAAACAAGAGACAGTTCCTCCCTTCCTTCCTTTCCTTCCTTCCTTCCTTCCTTCCTTCCTTCCTTCCTTCTTTCCTTCTTTCCTTCTTTCCTTCCTTCCTTTTTTGCTACTCCATTTCATTTTATTACAGTCCCATCCAATGTAGCAGTCTAGCTGTAGGCAAGCAAGGAAGAGGGAAAAGAAGATTCTGTTCCTCTATGTTATACATTAAAAAAAAAAAAGGATTCTTTCTATCCTTTGCTCCTTCATCTCCTGGAAAATTGGCATTGTGTATGTGGTAAAATCTGGCACATAGCATATTGCTCCATAACATAATTTAGCTAAAGGTCCACATCTAGCTGTGGGGAGAAAGGGCCGGGTGATGGATGGAAAATATAGACTCTAGCTGGACACTCCTACAAGTGCAATTTAAGATGCAGTTGTTCTATCACTAAAAGAAAAGAAGAGAGATTAGATGTTTAGAACAATTGCCGGTTTCAACCTGAGGAGACACGTTTGTTCAATTTTTCCCTGAATTCTGTGAGCTATGCCAATTTTTTGCCAGAGCTGCTCTGTGCAGTTTTCTGCAACTTGCTAATCTAGAGAGGCAGTGGTACTGTGAACCATTTGAATTTTTTGACAAAAATTCTGCTTCTGAAGTAAATAAATGTCAACTCAATTTTACCTGAACCTTCAGCCACCCCAGGCTCTCATGAAAATTTAGTATTTAGTTAAAGAATATTAAGCAATTTAGAATCCAGATTTAGGAAGTTTAGACTCAAGTTCTAGGGTGACTAACTCATCCTGCTTTGATTTAATCATTCAAAGTCCTGTGTTCAAGAAAACCCAGATGGTTAGTAACCCTAAACTGTAACGATATATATATTTGGTCCTAGATTCCATTTGCAACCCAGTTTCATTGACCAACCTGCACTCTGATTACCTTATTACTTTCAGGTCCTCTAAGACTGAACTGGCATTTCAAGCTTACTCTCAAATATTTTTGTGAGAATAATCATCTTATGGAATGGAATCTTACAGAATCATCTTATGGAATCCTAGACCTATGGTTACAACTATATCTTGGTTCCTAATGGCTAAAACATAGTCATCCCATTTGAAATAAAAGTAAGAGAACTATCTTTTAGATTTTACTTTGAGAACCTGTAACAATGGCTGGCATATAAGTTTTATTTTAAAGTTTTATTTTAAAAAAACTATGTTTTTAAATAAATTAGATCTCCACATATTGCCTATTCCCAGATTCCTATGGCTTGTACCCCTGCCTGGAGATACCCTGCTACTTTTGGATGAGTATCCCAACTGTTGGCATCCTACTAGTTTGTTTGTTACCTGGTATCACAAAACATCTGTCCTCTTGAGCTCCATCCATTATGTGTAGTCAGCTCAATCCTCAAGTATCTGAATTACTCCAGTGGGTGATATGAAATTATGAATATGAAATCATAGTAAGATAATATCTGGGCAAGGTATCTATCATTAAAATTCATTGTGAATTTTTAGTTATATATGAACTAAATAACTTAATTCTTTCAAGAAATTGACCAATGAGTATTTGCTACCAGAAACATGTTCTGTTTTGAAGTTATCCCCCCACATCTTCTTTTAAATGCACAGTGCCCACACAAAGACCACATGATTTTATCCTGCTGGGCACAGGTGTTAAACCATGGGGTTGACACATAAAACAGTAGAAATCCATGCATCTTATTTGTTTAGCCAACCAGATTTTTTTCCATATCAGAAATATGAACTTTGAGACACAAAGCTTGAATGAGTCTGGTGGTTTGGGACATAAGTTTATATGGAGCTGGGGCCAGAATAGGCACTGGGGCAAGCCAGAGCCACATGCAAGTCAAATTTACAGGAAATCAGATATAATCTTGAAAGAAAAAAAAAATACAAAAAAAATACTAGTCTACAAATTTTGAAATAGAACAGAAGAAGGACAGAGGGAAGTACATTATGGCCAAGAAAGAAAAAGAGAGAAATTTGCATACTGACGTTTGCAGTTGCAGTGACACTCAGTTGCACTTCCCATGGCGGATTACATAAAATGCCCCTGTATCCTGATAACCCTTTTTGTGTGAACCTCTTTAAATGTTCTGTTCACTGAAACCAAATGATGTCTGCCCTGGGATTTGCTTTCCCTGCCTTTTCCCTTCAAATAGTGCAGCCACCAGTACAAAGCTATGGTTCTGAGTACCTAAATTTAGTGTTTTCTATGGATGTACGAAATCTTTTACGTTTAGAGATTAGAACTAGAGAATGCTAGTATGGGACAGGACCTTTCCTTCCCTCACTTTACTTCTCTCTTTTGCCAAAAAAGAAACAGACCCATAGAGCTGAAGTGATATAATGTCAATGAAAGAAGACAGTGACATAGAACATTTCAATTTAGAATTCCCGACCACGCTCTTCTCTCAGGTATATCTGAATATCTTTATAAAGCTGGTGTGCAGTACAATCTCTTCTTTGCAATCCCTTGGCCATCAGCATCAGCCACTGATCATGGGACCATACACCCGCAGCGAGTGATGCTGCGCCTTTGATGGAGTCAGTTCATTGAGCCGGAATCACCCCAGGAGCTGCCATCCCGTTTGGGAGGCCTGTAGCTCTCACTTCCAAGCCTCGGTGAGCTGGCACGGTGCTTTCTACTGTGCTGCCCTTGAAGTGATGCCTCTGTTGTTCTATTTTGTTAGTTTCGTGTGTGGCTGATCGCTCTACAGCAGCTCGCTGCACAGCTTCTGCTTTGGTACATGCTGTCGTCATTTCTGTCCTTTGCATGACCTGCCTGGGAAAGATGAAGCAAATCCGTTGAACTGATCTGATCTTTTATATTCTTACATGATCAATCAGTTAGCAGTGTTGAACCTTGCTATGTCAGATGTTTTGCTGAGATTTGTTTGGGTTAAGCAAATAGTGAGCAAGGTTTCTGAATACCTTTACTCTAGGTGAATATTAACATTTCCGTAAGTAAAAGGCATTCCTAACCAAATTGCTCAGTTTTACTTTAATTCCTTTTTTCCCTGCCAAATACACACACTTGCATAAACAATAAGCACACACATGTATATATGGTAACACATACATAGTCTCTTGTGCAAAATCTTTGTCAAATGTGTTTTGAACAAAGGACCAAAAAACAGCAGTCATTTAATTTATCTGTTCCCACTTTCAAATTGAGGGAGAAAGTGACTCTGGCTAGAGTTGCCTACGAGAACTCACCAACCACCTTCAGAATTCACCAGGTGAGAGGCAGACATAGGGCCCTCTTATCTCTGGAAAGTATACTAAGATCTTTCTGCCGAGAGCCCTCTCACAGCACTACTAGCAGCACGAGGCAAGCCCCCCGTCTGCTCGCCAAACTCCACCGAGGAGCGAGATGCTAGCCAGCCCCCTCATCACAGAGACATCCCTCTCCCCATAGGGACATCTCGTGGCCGCCCACCCCGTATGGGACTTGAGGTGGGAAAGATGAAGCCCTTCCCTCATCCTCTCCATAGGAAATCAGCACCCTAGTGTTTCTGCCCAAATGAATTCCCTTTAAAGACTCTCCAAAGTGACTCTATTGCCTTCTCTGATAGAAGCTAGAGATTAAAGTTGGGGATCCTTACTATAAGAACTGTTCTGGCTGCCTCTTGGCAAGTCTTGCACAGATATGTCTAGCATCTCTCTTCAGAATGTGGGTGCCCTTAGCCGCTTCCACCACTATTGCTTTCAACTTTATGTTTTAGCTATAACTACAAGATGAAAAGTCCCCTTCACATCCTACCACAATACAATTTAAAACAATCATGCATTAACATAAAATTTGGCTATAGATCTACTTATACATTATTAGATTTATAAATAAATATTGAACCTTGCAGAAAATCTGGAAGAATCCAATGACAAAGGGAAATAAAACATATACTGAATGTTTAGAAATGATAAATTTCTAAATCTTTATTTTTAAAAATCAGCAGTTAACAGAAGTTATCGGATAAAGTATATAGGCTCTTTCCTCATGATATAGAAAGGGGGTTGGAGGAGGTAGAACAGAGTAAAGGGGATAAATGGTGACAGAAGGAGACTTGACTTGGGGTGGTGAACATGCAAGACAATGTCGTTTTTCATTTTTATTATCTATGTCTGAAACATCAAATAACATACTGTTTAATTGTCTGTTCTTAGGCTTTATTTAAAAGTCCATGAATGACCTTCAAAAACACTGATCCTGTAGATCTAGTTATTTCGGTTTCCTGTTGCTCCATACTCCACTATATGAATATAACGAAATTTGTTTACCTATTGAGTGCTGATAGACTACTGGCTTTTTCCATTTTTGGTTTCAATGAATAATGCTGCCACAAGCAATCTTGCGCATCAGGATCCTTGCTGAATCATAGGGAATTTATCACCAACTTTAGCAGGTGATTTCAGTCCAAAGGAACAAATTTAAATGCCCATGAGTAGCAGGTGAGGGTGTCATTGCTCCATATCCCCGAAAACACTTTGTACTGTCAGACTCTCGTTTTTTGCCAGTTTGGTGAGTATGAGATTATAAATCAGTAGGGTTTTAATTTGCATTTCACTATTTAGTGATGATATTAAAACTCTTTTCAGATATTTAGGGATCATTTGTACTTTCTTGTTTCTGAACTACTTATTCATATCTCAGTAAGATTTCTACTGAGTTGTTTCTCTTTGTCTTATTAATATGTAAAAGTTTTTATTATATTTGAAGCACCAATCGTTTGGCAGTTGTACATAAAGCAAATATCCACTTTGAAGCTTGTCATTCACTCCTTTCATAGTGTCTTTTGATATACAGAAGCTCTTAGGTTTAATAATCTCATTTCTTAGCCTTTACGGTTTGTACTTTTGTGCACTAAGAAGAATGGGTTTTTCTTTATTATTCAGTGAATAATAATCACTGTCATTATTCCCTTTTGGTGCTCAAATTATCAAATTTGTCAAGTGGGGGACCATTCCAACTGGGTCCTGTGTCATTTTTGTATTACCTCATTTGCATTAGGACCCTTTCTGGCACAAGATATTTCAGTCTCACCGTGTACTTTCCTGTCTTAGGCCTGTAATCAGCCAGTTCTCTAAGCAATTCTGGTTCTTTTTCACCCAGAATTATATTCCGAAACCAAGATCTGGGCAATAGGTGTGCTAACTGCTGCCAGGGTGCCCTTTTAGGCCCTTTTCATGGAGAAAAGGAATTTTAATAACATATGTTTTAACAAGCATGAGATCATGTTAATATTTTCAATTCAAAATCAAAATCAGAGAGTGCTTTCTCTCTTATATTCTTTTAAATCCATACATTCTTTTCCTGCAAACAGGGAAAAATTCTAGTTCCTAATAACATCAACACATCTGTTTATGTGCTGTATTCTACATCACACACAGAAAAGTCTCAAAATTATATCACCATCATTGATATTAACAATAAATCCATAAGGAATGTTTGAGATATGCTTTACAGTGCTTTTTGTCCTGAGAGTAATTCCCAATAAGAATACATAGTCAGAGTAGAGGTTCTGTTTTAAAGTTACCTGAGATAACCTTTTTCTCCACATGGTTATGCTGTCAATGGGACAGGAATTTGTTTGTATTCTATTTTATTAGTGCTTTTTCTCTTTTTTTGATACAATTTTATATTTTAATATTTAATAATCAAGAGGGAAAATTACTTAATGCTTGTTTGGGGAAATTCTGATTTGTTCCAACTCTATAGATTTCAGCATAATACATATAAACCTGGTCTTTGCTTATGCACAATATCATCAACAGGAAACCTCGCTAGTTGAACCCAGTCGAGTAAGAATGAACAATAGCTATGCCCACACCGGCACCAGCCACCAGCTCCCTCGGCTCCCTGCTCGGTGGCAGCCACACGCACCCCCCTCGCGATGCGTATCACAGCATCTTCTGACCCTGCTCGTCCCGCTTCACAGTAACACACCAGCTGCCACCCTTCTGAGGCCCACTTCCACCAGCAAACTTAGGACTGCTTCACTGTAGAGGGCATTTTTTACTGCATTTTTATGTATTTCTTAACCATTTGATGTGTGTATAACTGTGCACCACTTTTATTAGGCTCCTACTCTTTTTTTAATGTGTCACTGACGAAGTTTTTGAGTGTTACGCCTCTAACCCCATATTTCTCACAAGCCCAGTAGATGTTAGTATACAACTTTGTATAATACAGTGATATTTTGGAATGCATATGTCTTATTATAGCAGAACTAAAGAGAATTCAGGCTCTCATTTCTATCCCTTCAAGTAATGCCCATCAACCTCCTGTAAATAACATGATCACTAACTTCTGATTCAGATTCTTGTTCATCCTTTCTGTGTTTAATTTTGAGAAATGAGCAATTATAGATTACATAATAGCTAGCTAGCTAGCTAGCTAGATGGAGAGACATAGACAATAGATAGATGATGATAGACGATAGATATAGATAGGTTATAGATAATTTTTACTTCCCTTTCTTTCTTACCAAAACCAGATGCATAAATTATACACTGTGTTCTTAGCATTTTTTCACTTAAGAATATGACATGAAAATCACTACGTATAAGAACATAGATATTTTCTTCTTCTTCTTTTTTCACAGCTGCACAAAATTCCACTGTGAGATTGTACCATAGTTCCTTGAACCAACCTCATGTTGATGGATATTTGTGTTATTAATCATTATCATAAACGATGTTGCAGTGAATAACTTTGTACATATGCTATTTTCTATTTGTGCTGGTACTTCTTGAAAGTAAGTGCAGAGAAGTGTGATTTCTGTGGTTAAAAGGTAAATGTATGTGCAATTTTATTGGCAATTTATTTTGCACTATCACCAGTCAAAAAATATATATAGAGAGAGCATTCTTGTTTCCCTACAACCTTGCCTTTAAATTGGGTTGTCAAGCCATTTTTGTCAATGTTAATATATAAAAAAATAACATCTGTATAGTTTGAATTTGTATATTTCTTTTTCTGAATGAAGCCGAGGTCCTTTCCATATGTTTACTGACCACTTGTATATCTTTCTCATGATCTCTTTGTTCATGGCTTTTGTCCACTTTGTTAATTGGGCTTATTGTTTTTTCCTTCTTGTGTTTTAAGAATCCTAAATATATGAAAGATATTAGCCTTCTATCTGTGATATAAGTTGTAAATTGCAAATATATTTTTTCCCATTTGATTTGGTTATTATAGAGTTTATTTTTGCTCTATGGTGTGAGTTATAGATCCAATTTTCACCTTTCATCCAAATGGCTACAGTTGTATTATATAAGTTTGACCTAGCCCTCTCACTCCTCCCCANTTTATGTTTTTGGATGGTTTGGTTTTGCTTTGTTTCATTGTCACGAACAAGTGCTTTTCTTATTTTATATACAGTAGTTGAATTTATCAGCATTTTCTTATATTACTTCTATGTTTTGAGCCATAGTTTGAAAGGCATGCCACATATCTAGGTTATTATAGAGTTTATTTTTGCTCTATGGTGTGAGTTATAGATCCAATTTTCACCTTTCATCCAAATGGCTACAGTTGTATTATATAAGTTTGACCTAGCCCTCTCACTCCTCCCCAATTTTGTGTAAATTTCCCCCCTTCCAGGTTTTACTTTAACAAGACAACCTTTATCCTATTTTTAAATAGTGAGGAGTAGCTTCTGAAAATTGATATCGTTAAATAACAGCTCACTTTGAAGTCTAGCGTCTAATTAAAGCTGTTTCAGAGACCATATATTCGCTTCCCCGAGGTTAGAAAAAGACAATGCCTTGAAGGCCACGACT